ATATATATATATATATATATATATATATATTTTAACTATATATATAGATTTAACAAATGAATAAAAATAATTAAATAAACGAATAAGTATAACTAAATTAAAAATAATATAAATTAAATAAATCAATTAAATTAATTAATTAAAAGCAAAATTAAATAAGATAGGTTTTACTTTCACTGGGCAATAAATAATTTCTCATTACTTTCCAATTGATTTTGGGGGAGATATATGATCCACACATGTTCTTGACGAGTTTGGGAGATTCACTTCTTATGCATTAATCTTGAACGACTGGAAAGGTCGTGGAAAAGTGTGGGAACCTTGAAATCTCTTGCCATTTGTGTGCAACATGCATCAGACGGGTCTGAGGTTCAGGGTGACGTCACTTTCCCAGGCTGTAACTCAGTTTTCTTCTCATATGATTATCTTTCTCGCTGATGATGAAGAGAGCTGTTTGAAAAGAGCAGCAGAGAGTCTCACACCACTGCAATTACTACAGCGACATTAGTCCACTGCTAATTAAGATCATGAGCCATTCATCCTCATTTAGACTAAATTTACTGCCAGGAAAATCTGCTAATTACTGTCATTACTCATCTGTCCGGAGGAGTTCAGATCACACAAGTGTGCGGCATATATGGAGAGTCACAGTCACTGACATTATTACACAGCAATCTAACACACCAATGAATCAATCACATGACTGAAAGGATTTTTCTGGTTTGAAACTTTTGTTTGAGGTTTTTCCTCATCAGTTTATTTCTAACTCGATGTGTGTTTGGTCAGATAAGTTTAAAACCACAGCTTACATATATAGAAAGATACCATTAATATTAAATAATTTAATTAATTTAATAATTTATGCATTTAGCAGACGCTTTTATCCAAAGCGACTTACAGTGCATTCAGGCTATACATTTTTTACCAGTATATTTTAAATAAAACTGCATTCTTTTTTACAAATTCAAATGACATAATCTGGTAGATCAGTTTTACGTTTTACGTCACTATAAATTGGTCTTTTGACACTGTGACACTGTCAGAATATTAATTTGTTGGAGTGACCTGACATGTCAACTTCTGACTCAACCAATCATATGATTTGGGGGGCGGGGCTATCTGTTTGACTGACCAGTAGCAGGGAAGCAGCGTAGAATGTGTGGTGAAAATTTGCTTAGAAATAATTGGTACTTTTGCAATTCTGTTTGGCACCACTAATGGTGCAAAAATCTCCCAAAACTATTGCGTTTCCTGGAAAAAACTTTGTGGTCTCTTGCAAAACATTTGCGTTCCCAAGAGAAAGCTTGCATTAACTCATAAAACATTTGTGTTCACTTGCATTCTGCATTTGCTCGCAAAACATTTGCATTCCCAAGAGAAAGTTTGCATTCACTTGCAAAACAAGTTGCGTTCTTTCGCAAAACTATTGTTGTCCAAATAAATTTTACGTTCTCTTGCAATAAATTTGCAATCTCCAGAAAAACTTTGTGTTCTCTCGCAAAATATTTACGAACTCCTAAGAAAGAAACATTTGCGTTCGCTCACAAAACTGTTGTGTTCGCCAAAAAACTTTGCATTCTCTTGCCAAACATTTGTGTTCCAGAGAATTGTTGTATTTGCTCACAAAACGTGTGCTCTTTTGCAAAAACGATTGCGGTTGTCCCAAGAAAAGCTACAGTAAGTTATTTTAGGGAACACAATAGTTTGGGGAGAGAATGCAAAATTTCACAATATAGGCCTATTGCGTTTACATTTATGATAAGTGACTGTTTCAGGTTCAGATTTCAAAAAGTAAAATACTTGAAAAACGTCTACACAAAAATTAGTGATGGCCGCTTTCGAAGCACTGCTTTGTGAAGCTTCGAAACTTTTGTGAATCTTTTGTTTCGAAACAGTGGTTCGGAGCACGTATCAAACTGCCAAAGTCACGTGATTTCAGTAAACTAGGCTTCATTACGTCATAACTGTTTTTTCCATTGGGGGGGCGATCTCTGTAAACCCGTGAATCATGCGAGTTCACTGTGATCGCCCCACAGTGGCAAACCATTGAATCAGCGGCTATGGTTTTTACCTGATTTCGGATCAGTTTAATCAATTTGTAGACATTTTTAACAAGGCATTTGTGTAATTAAAAGGATGAGAAGTAGTTAATAGTATACAAGCTCTCCATAAAACAAAACAAGCCCTGCAAATTAATATAAAATATTTTAAAAGCCATATACAGACACTTCATATTTAATGGTATTTTATCATTTTTATGGCATTTAATGTATTCAACTTTCAATAAAACATTTGCAATGGGGTTTTAAAAGCTGTTTTTATGCATGTTTTAGCCTGAGTTTTTGTTGCATTTACACACTTTTGACCACTAGTGCTTCGAAACGGTGAATCATTTTGCGAAGCAATTGGTTCAATTGATTCGAAGCTTTGAAAACGTTCGTTTCTCCCATCACTATCAAAAATCAAAAAGTCACAAGCGAGATGAAAACAGTGTAAGCAATTTACTGAAAAAAAACAAGGCAACAAGGCAAACGTTTCGGTCACATGGTGACCATTTTCAACGCCAAGCTAACAATGTTGGAACTAGGAGCCATCTTGATTTAAAGTGCCCCTATTATGGATTTTTGAAAATTACCTTTCATGCAGTGTGACCTCTAAGTGAATGAAAATATCCTGCAAAGTTTTAAATCTGAAAGTGCACCATGTATATTTTTAAAACGAATCCCAAGCATATTGCCCGCCCACTTGTTGGTCTTTTCGCATTGGTCTGAAATGCAAATTCATTCTTTGCCACTAGGTGCCACTTTTGGAGCAGTAAAAATAGCAGTTTCCCCGGTAACGCTGTACACAAAGCAGCACTGCGCTCACAAACGCTGATTTATCAGCCATTACAGGCAAAATGAATCGGAATTGGCAAAATTAATACAGAAAAATGAATCGTTGAGCGAATCGTTTGGGAGTCATTGAGCAAATAAGGTAAAAATAAATGCATATTATAAGACAATTAAAGTGTTTTTTGACCTTGCATGCATGTCAACCTGTTGTTGGGGACTCCCAAAACCAAAATATGAACCTTTCATAACCCATAATAGGGGCACTTTAAGGAATCACATGATGATTTTAGGAGATCACATGATCAATCAGAACCAATCAATCAGAATCAATCGAGCACTGATCCAAAAAAAACCCCACCACAATAGATCAATATGCTAAAAAAAGCAGTTAATCAACATATTAAATTACACAAAATCAAGATATAAAGAAAAAAAGGTTCAGATTCCATGCAGCTTTAATACAGACTGCATCAGCAGTGATTCCTTCTTAGTGAATTCCCTTTGGAAATTGTTTTTAACAGACGATCTTCCGCTCAATTAGTTTGGAAAGTGGTAGAACAAACTGTCAGCGTCAGTGGTTTTTCTGGATATTCAGTTTTTTCCCAGAGCAGGATGTTCTCCGGGTTTTCTTATCTCGGCTCGCCAGCGCTGGAGTGTGTCCTGCTCTATCGCAGATTGCATAAATATCTTTGACATTCATCCAGCCTCTCGTCTGGTGTCCGAGCTTCTCTCCGTGAGAACTGATGTCCTCTAGAATTCAATTTCCTCCGCTGTGATCTGGTTTTATCAGGGTAATAACTGTTCCCAGGCCTGTGCTAATGAAACCTGTCAGTCCCGCAGGACACATGTGCGCGTGATTGAGGGTGATCAGACGCCCGCCGCTGCATCCCGACATACCTGAGCGCTGCTCGCGCGTCTGCACCCGATCAATCTGTCAGCGCAATAATCCCGGACCGATGAACAACATCAGCGCAGTCTGACACACTGTAGTCTGGGATCCTCTGCGCAGCTGTGCCACAGTATATGAAGGTCAAATGAACGACATGAGAGACGTCTGGCTATTTTTCTTAAGGTTAAACAAGCGACCTGAAGAACCAGCGAGGGAAGAGCTTTAAATGAGCAATTCAGCCAAAAATGAAACAGTCTGTCAACCTGTATGACTTTATTTTATCTGTGAGACACAATGTTAGGTAGAAGGTTCTGAACAGGTTCGGTCTAAAGAGAAAGAAAGTCATACAGGTTTGTGTTGAAGTGCATTTTCATAAGAGGATAAAAAATAAAAAAGCGAATTGCAACTTTTTTGTCGCAATTCTGAGTTTATGTCTCGCTATTCGGCCTTTAAAGGGTTAGTTCACCCAAAAATGAAAATTAGCCCATGAATTACTCACCCTCAAGTCATCCTAGGTGTATAAGACTTTCTTCTTTCAGAGCTAATTTTCATTTTTGGGTGAACTAACCCTTTAAGTCTCACAATTCTGAAGTTTACAGCTAGTAATTCAAACTTTACATCTCACAATTTGGACTTCACGTCTCACAATTCTGAGTTCATGTTTTGCAATCCAGCCTTTATATCTCGTAATTTGGACTTTTCACAATTCTTAGTATCTTGCAATTTTGAGTTTACGTCTCGCAATTCTGAGTTTACGTCTCACATTTCAGACTTTGTTTCACAGTTCTGAATTTACATCTCGCAATTTGGACTTTGTCTCAATTCTGACTTTACATCTTGTGTTTCGGACTTTACATATCACAATTCTGACTTTACAACTCACGATTTTTTACTCTATGTCTTGCAATTGTGAGTTTACGTCTCACATTTCGGAGTGTAGATCTCAAAATTCTGAGAAAAAAAGGTAAAAAAGTATGAGATATAAACTGAGAATTCAGACTTTTTTCTCATAATTCTGAGTTTACATCTCACAACTCAGACCTTTTTGTTTTTGCCATTGAATAAAAAATAAAAAAGGTCATTTTGACTTTTTATCTCACAAATTCGACTGTTTTTCTTGCAATTGCGAGTTTATATCTTGTAATTTGCATCTTGCAATTCTTAGTTTATATCTCACAATTCGTACTTTATATCTCACAATTCTTCTTTGTATCTTCTTTTTTCTCAGAATTGCAAGGGGAAAAGTCTGAATTGTGAGATAAAAAGTTGCAATTATCTTTTGTATCATGTGGTTTAAGCAGGCCTCCATGGGTTTGAAACAACATAAGGTTGAGTAAATGGTGATAGAATGATAATTTTTGGCTTATTTATTCCTTTAAATCTTGGAAAAGACAATGCATCAGTTCTCCTTAAGGAAATGAGAAGGCTAAGTCTTGTAGACTCTGAGAAGCATTATGAACCCTCTCTACTTTCATTAGTTTAACTACCTGTAGGAGTTCATTGGCAGGTCAGATTTGGACAGGCTTTCGCTCTCATAAGCCTCATTGAAAAAGCAATATGTTCTGAGTCAGGGTGATGATTCAAAGAGAGCCGTGCGAGAGCCTCGTATGTTCTGGTTTGAGGGATCTTCTCTAATAAGATGAAGTGACTCTGACACTGAACAGCAAAACAGACTGTCAGTCTTCAGAGACGGAGATCCAGGACAATCATGAACTTATGAACCATTTTCTCCTTCACTTTGAGTAATCATTATCATATTTGAGAAGAACATCAAACATCACAACTACTTTTTTAAAGCATGAATATAAAACAAAACCGTAGAAATATTGATATAATTTATTATTGTTTTTTTATATAAATTTTTTTTATTCAGCAATGATGCATTCATTTAATAAAAAACAACAGTTTATATTTTAAATAAATGTTGTTTTTAAAAATAATAAGTAAAAAATATATATATATTGGGCAGCACAACTGTTTTCAACATTGATAATAATCAGAAATGTTTCTTGAGCAGCAAATCAGAATGATTTCTGAAGATCATGTGACACTGAAGACTGGAGTAATGATGCTGAAAATTCAGCTGTGCATCACAGAAATAAATTACATTTGAACAGATATTCACATAGAAAACAGTTATTTTAAATTGTAATTTTTTCACAATTTTACTGTTTTTACTGTATTTTTGATCAAATATATGCAGCCTTGGTGAGCAGAAGAGACTAAACAAACCTTTTGAATGGTATTGTAATTAAATGCATATAAAAGGCATAAAAATTATATTATTTTGCAAGAATTGATGTTGTTTACATTTTTTTTCAATTGTTTTAGATAAAATTATATACAGTACAGAGGCTCACTGCTAATGACAAATACCATGCCAATAAAATGCATCAAAGGGCCAGTTTCTATATTACATAAAGATAAAACATGTCTGCCAATATTAGTGTGTGCAACCCTGTAAATTATGTTTTTTTTTTTTTTTTGCTAAGTCTGGCATTTCAGAGCATCATCTATTATTTGCATTTTGGTTGCTAATAGACAATTGAACACTAAAGGCCCTGCTACTGTAAAAAAAAAAAAAAAGTTTGTTTCTTTAAACTGTATGCCATCTTTCAAGCATCAGGCACTGGAAACCCTTTATGAGAATATCAAGTAGAAAAATCCCACATCTGACAGTGGATGAGAAGCAGCATTATAGGCTGGACTGCTGGAGGTGTGTGTGTGTGTGTGTGTGTGGGTGTGTGTGTGTGTGTGTGTGTGTGTGTGTGTGT